CGTTATCAAATCCTTATCCTTATCCTTATTATACGGAAGTTATCTAAAAAAAAGAGTAAGATTGAAACAATTAAATCAGATTTTTTCAATGTTTTTCAAAATATCAGAAATTGAACCATATCAGAAATGCTACAAAAGTGTGTTATATCACGATGGAATCTATATCGATTAAGCTTTGTTTTAAAAGTTTAATCATTAAAGTATCTTCATTTATACGGAAGTTATCTAAGAAAGAGTTGAAATAAGAAAATTAGATATTTTAGTGTTTAAATGAGTTTTCGAACCATATCACAAATGATATAAAAGTGTGCAATATCACGATGAAATTTACATCGATTAAGCTTTTCTTTAAGAATACGTTTATTAAAGTATCTTGATTTATACGGAACTTATCTAAGAAAGAATTCGATTGAAACAATTAAATTAGATTTTTTGCAGTTTTTAAATGATATTTCGATATCATCAATGCTACAAAAGTGTGTTATATCACGATGAAATCTATATTGATTCAGCTTTCTTTTAAAAGTTAAGTCATTAAAGTATCTTGATTTATACGGAAGTTATCTACGAAAGAGTACGATTGAAATAAGAAAATTAAATATTTTAGTGTTTAAATGAGCTTTCGACATGTTTACGAACCATATCACAAATGATACAAAAGTTTGCTATATCACGACGAAATCTACATTAATTAAGCTTTGTTTTAAGAATTCGTTCATTAAAGTACCTTGATTTATACGGAAGTTATCTAAGAAAGAGTACAACTGAAACAATTAAATTAGATTGTTTTCAGTGTTTAAATGAGTCGACACTCAAACCATATCACAAATGCTACAAAAGTGTGCTATATCACGATGGAATCTATATTGATTAAGCTTTCTTTTTAAAGTATATTCATTAAAATATCTTGATTTATACGNAAAAGTTAAGTCATTAAAGTATCTTGATTTATACGGAAGTTATCTACGAAAGAGTACGATTGAAATAAGAAAATTAGATATTTTAGTGTTTAAATGAGTTTTCGAACCATATCACAAATGATATAAAAGAATGTAATATCATGAAGAAATCTACATCGATTAAGCTTTTCTTTAAGAATACGTTTATTAAAGTAACTTGATTTATATGGAACTTATCTAAGAAAGAATTCGATTGAAACAATTAAATTAGATTTTTTGCAGTTTTTAAATGACATTTCGATATCATCAATGCTACAAAAGTGTGTTATATCGCGATAAAATCTGTATTGATTAAGCTTTTTTTTAAAAGTTAAGTCATTAAAGTATCTTGATTTATACGGAAGTTATCTACGAAAGAGTACGATTAAAATAAGAAAATTAGATATTTTAGTGTTTAAATGAGTTTTCGAACCATATCACAAATGATATAAAAGTGTGCAATATCACGATGAAATTTACATCGATTAAGCTTTTCTTTAAGAATACGTTTATTAATGTATCTTGATTTATACGGAACTTATCTAAGAAAGAATTCGATTGAAACAATTAAATTAGATTTTTTGCAGTTTTTAAATGATATTTCGATATCATCAATGCTACAAAAGTGTGTTATATCACGATGAAATCTATATTGATTCAGCTTTCTTTTAAAAGTTAAGTCATTAAAGTATCTTGATTTATACGGAAGTTATCTACGAAAGAGTACGATTGAAATAAGAAAATTAGATATTTTAGTGTTTAAATGAGTTTTCGAACCATATCACAAATGATATAAAAGTATGCAATATCATGAAGAAATCTACATCGATGAAGCTCTTCTTTAAGAATATGTTTATTAAAGTAATTTGATTTATACGGAACTTATCTAAGAAAGAATTCGATTGAAACAATTAAATTAGATTTTTTGCAGTTTTTAAATGATATTTCGATATCATCAATACTACAAAAGTGTGTTATATCACGATGAAATCTATATTGATTCAGCTTTCTTTTAAAAGTTAAGTCATTAAAGTATCTTGATTTATACGGAAGTTATCTACGAAAGAGTACGATTGAAATAAGAAAATTAGATATTTTAGTGTTTAAATGAGTTTTCGAACCATATCACAAATGATATAAAAGTGTGCAATATCACGATGAAATTTACATCGATTAAGCTTTTCTTTAAGAATACGCTTATTAAAATATCTTGATTTATACGGAACTTATCTAAGAAAGAATTGGATTGAAACAATTAAATTAGATTTTTTGCAGTTTTTAAATGACATTTCGATATCATCAATGCTACAAAAGTGTGTTATATCGCGATGAAATCTATATTGATTCAGCTTTCTTTTAAAAGTTAAGTCATTAAAGTACCTTGATTTATACGGAAGTTATCTACGAAAGAGTACGATTGAAATAAGAAAATTAGATATTTTAGTGTTTAAATGAGTTTTCGAACCATATCACAAATGATATAAAAGTATGCAATATCACGATGAAATTTACATCGATTAAGCTTTTCTTTAAGAATACGTTTATTAATGTAACTTGATTTATACGGAACTTATCTAAGGAAGAATTCGATTGAAACAATTAAATTAGATTTTTTGCAGTTTTTAAATGATATTTCGATATCATCAATGTTACAAAAGTGTGTTATATCGCGATGAAATCTATATTGATTAAGCTTTCTTTTAAAAGTTAAGTCATTAAAGTATCTTGATTTATACGGAAGTTATCTACGAAAGAGTACGATTGAAATAAGAAAATTAGATATTTTAGTGTTTAAATGAGTTTTCGAACCATATCACAAATGATATAAAAGTGTGCAATATCACGATGAAATTTACATCGATTAAGCTTTTCTTTAAGAATACGTTTATTAATGTAACTTGATTTATACGGAACTTATCTAAGGAAGAATTCGATTGAAACAATTAAATTAGATTTTTTGCAGTTTTTAAATGATATTTCGATATCATAAATGCTACAAAAGTGTGTTATATCGTGATGAAATCTATATTGATTAAGCTTTCTTTTTAAAGTATATTCATTAAAATATCTTGATTTATACGGAAGTTATGTAAGAACGAGTCGGAATGAAACAATTAAATTAGATTTTTTTTCAGTATTTAAATGAGTCAACTCTAAATCCATATCACAAATACTACAAAAGTGTGCTATATCACGATGGAATCTATATTAATTAAGCTCTCTTTTAAGAATTCGTTCATTAAAATGCCTTGATTTATACGGAAGTTATTTTGAATGTTTAAATTCTTCTATATCATTTTATTATAGATTACAACAAAAGATTTTTATTTGTAGAAAGTTCTTCGTCGGTGTCCCTTATCAAGCAAACGAGCGTATCGTAGATCCAATAAAACTGATTTCCACCGGATCCGATCAAGTATGCAGGTCTCGCCTGGGCCCTGTTGTAGAGAAGTAATGGAACCTCGTCGGATGATGAATTCGATTGTAGAGGTACTTGGGAAACTGCCGCGATAGGCCTGTGAAAGATGTGCTCGAGGACCCTAGATCTCTACAGGATAGCGAGAACTGACAGACAATAAAATTTTCATCCCCCCAAACTATTTCTTATCTATTTTAGTATTCCATATAAATTGAGATCCTTGCATCAATAAAATATCGTGGGGGTGTTTGTAAATAAATAAATATTGTTATTGATGTTAAACACCCGAAAAATGATGCGGTGATTAATTTTTGTTTATAAACAAAAGATTACCAATTACCATTAAAATTCGACAGGGAAATGGCAATTACGCGAGGTCGTCTATTATCGAGGTTAAAATTGGCTGCCGGTTGTAAATTTAAACCAAATAATGCAAGCCCGTTAGTCCGATATCATGCGCATATAGTTTTTACTACTGTTTAATTTGTCGGAATTTGTATGTAATATATATTGACGTTGCCGCCGGTCGAATGACAATTTTCAGGGAAAACGGCAAAGCGTCCGGGCGTGCCAACATTTAATATTTACAAAACGGACCGGCGCACTTTATCGCCGTATTAATGCTTTCGGATAACACTAATCGAATTATAACAACCGCCATTACGTTGATTTATACGCTATACGGCGTTAACTGCTACCGACGCTATCGTAATAACTATTTACGCGGAACGATTTTGCAAAATTTAACACTTTTTTTTCATAATACACTACACCACTGCAGATACCGAACTGGACGTCTTTTAACTTATCGCAGTCTCTTTTTATTCACCATTTTATAAGGCCTTTCTTCCCTTTCAATTGCATGTTACACCATCCATGTAGCAATTAAAGATAACTACCATCTGGGGATTCTAAGTAATTGAATTGTGTACAGCAATTACGATCGTACCACCCGGTAATATTTGTACTATCACCTCCTTTTTTAGACTTTTCCTTTTGTTACCTTTTCTGAAATCGACCCTAAACACTAACTGTTATTGTTGTTATTATCCAAACACTTATCTATCTTTCATTCCAACCGAAATAACCAAAAACTTTTATCGTTGATTATCATCATACATATATAGGCGAGATTCACAACGTTTTAAAAAAAATGTCCCCATTTAATTGGGGCCTAGAAAAATTTTAACTTCGAATAGCTTTTATAAATCAAGAATTTCTTTTTCCTATTATTATTGTTGTAAACCGAAAATATAAAAAAAACTTCCTTCCCCGCCACAACCATAAAAAAAAACATTTCCTTTCTTCCTATTCCCCCACACCTTTCTTATACTTATTCTATCCCTATCTCGATCCCTTGGGACACCATTTTGTAACCATCCCCCAACTATCAGCGGGCAGGGAGAACACAAAAAAAAAAAGAAAAGGAAAATTGCCGCGAGATGCCTCTCGTGTCGTTGTATCGTGATCACGTGCTTCTTGTTCCGACGACAACCAACGGGCACATTTATCCAAAGTTTTGTTGTTCTTATCGTTTTATTTTTGTGAAACATTTTCTTTTGCGAGCTGGACATTTCTCGACCGCACGTCGCGGTAGTTGCAAAAAAATCGAATCTGAATAAAAAAGAAAAGTAGAAACTTACCTGTCTATTATCACAGGATCCGACGGCGTTTCGTTTCTATTGCCACAACTTTTTTTGTCACAACATCGACTGCAAATAACAAAAAGATTTTTAGATTTATGGTTCTTAATAAACTAAATCACCCAAATTTTATCACCCTATAAAACACTTTCAGAGCGAAAATATTATCATGCAAATTTCGTTCTTGCAATTTTCGCGCAAACAAGCTTTAAAATCGATTTTCTCAACTTTAGAATATAATTCAACATCATATTGTAAAAATAGCCTATTTATTTCTAGACGTTTCTTTCGTCCAACTGAATGTTTGTTATGAAAAGTATAATGGGAGGGGAGAAGAATGTCCCATGGGGATTGGCTCTACAGTCAGTTCCCCCCAAAGACATTAAACGAAGGACGAAGGGGACCTGAAAAAGTATTTAGGGGTACGCGCTATGGCGAGTCACTCAATGCAGTTCTTTCTTTAGCTTTGAAAAAAAACACAGTGAAAAGCTAAATAAGATGAAAAAAAGTTAAAAAATACCGTTGAAACAAACGTTATTATCACATCGTTTTTTATGTTTACGAGGGCTATATATTTCGGTGTATTTTTGCTTTTTTTTATAACAAAAGAGTTTAAAAATAGATGTAATGGTGTCGATTACCTGCACATTATTTCGTGGGTTAGAAGAACTCGGCACATTTCAGGATTTTTATCTTGTCCTTCGTAGATTATAGCCTGAAAAGATAAACAAAAAAATCGTTAATAATAAATTCTTAATATTATAAGTAGTTAAATTAAAAAATATCGAAACCATATTTACGAAAATTAATATTTTTGAGCCAAAAATTAGAATAAATTTGCTTTAATATGCTTCTTATTTCATGATGATATCTCAATTCATTCTTGAGATACAGCCTCATCAATGTGATCCACAAATAACTTTTTATTAATGTTAAGGTTGATTTTAAAAAATCATTGCAGCCTAATTGACGGAAATTAAAAATTTATCTTTTAGTCATTAAAATTAGAATAAATTTGCTTTAAAATGCTTCATATTTCATATTAATATCTCAATTTGTTTTTGAGATACAACCCTATTAACACGATTATGTGTAACCTAAATAATTATTAAGTTAGGGTTGAATTAAAAAAGTTACTATAACCACATTGACTGAAATGAAAAACTTATTTGATCATTAAATTACAATAAATTTGCTTTAAGACGCTTCTTAGTTTGTGATGATATCTCAATTCGTTCTTAAGATACAGCCTCATCAATGTGATCCACAAATAACTTTTTATTAATGTTAAGGTTGATTTTAAAAAATCATTGCAACCTAATTGATGGAAATTAAAAATTTATCTTTTAGTCATTAAAAATAGAACAAATTTGCTTTAAAATGCTTCATGTTTCATATTAATATCTCAATTTGTTCTTGAGATACAACCCTATTAACATGATTATGGGTAACCTAAATAATTATTAAGTTAGGGTTGAATTAAAAAAGTTACTATAACCACTTGACGGAAATGAAAATCTTATTTGATCATTAAAATTACAATAAATTTGCTTTAAGACGCTTCTTAGTTTGTGATGATATCTCAATTCGTTCTTGAGATACAGCCTCATCAATGTGATCCACAAATAACTTTTTATTAATGTTAAGGTTGATTTTAAAAAATCATTGCAACCTAATTGACGGAAATTAAAAATTTATCTTTTAGTCATTAAAATTAGAATAAATTTGCTTTAAAATGCTTCATATTTCATATTAATATCTCAATTTGTTCTTGAGATACAACCCTATTAACATGATTATGTGTAACCTAAATAATTATTAAGTTAGGGTTGAATTAAAAAAGTTACTGTAAACACATTGACTGAAATGAAAAACTTATTTGATCATTAAAATTACAATAAATTTTCTTTAAGACGCTTTTTAGTTTGTGATGATATCTCAATTCGTTCTTGAGATACAGCCTCATCAATGTGATCCACAAATAAATTTTATTAATGTTAAGGTTGATTTTAAAAAATCATTGCAACCTAATTGATGGAAATTAAAAATTTATCTTTTAGTCATTAAAATTAGAATAAATTTGCTTTAAAATGCTTCATATTTCATATTAATATCTCAATTTGTTCTTGAGATACAACCCTATTAACATGATTATGTGTAACCTAAATAATTATTAAGTTAGGGTTGAATTAAAAAAGTTACTATAACCACATTGACTGAAATGAAAAACTTATTTGATCATTAAAATTACAATAAATTTGCTTTAAGACGCTTCTTAGTTTGTGATGATATCTCAATTCGTTCTTGAGATACAGCCTCATCAATGTGATCCACAAATAACTTTTTATTAATGTTAAGGTTGATTTTAAAAAATCATTGCAACCTAATTGACGGAAATTAAAAATTTATCTTTTAGTCATTAAAATTAGAATAAATTTGCTTTAAAATGCTTCATATTTCATATTAATATCTCAATTTGTTCTTGAGATACAACCCTATTAACATGATTATGTGTAACCTAAATAATTATTATGTTAGGGTTGAATTAAAAAAGTTACTATAACCACATTGACGGAAATGATAAAACTTATTTGATCTTTAAAATTACAATAAATTTGCTTTAAGACGCTTTTTAGTTTGTGATGATATCTCAATTCGTTCTTGAGATATAGCCTCATCAATGTGATCCACAAATAACTTTTTATTAATGTTAAGGTTGATTTTAAAAAATCATTACAACCTAATTGAAGGAAATTAAAAATTTATCTTTTAGTCATTAAAATTAGAATAAATTTGCTTTAAAATGCTTCATATTTCATATTAATATCTCAATTTGTTCTTGAGATACAACCCTATTAACATGATTATGTGTAACCTAAATCATTATTAAGTTAGGGTTGAATTAAAAAAGTTACTGTAAACACATTGACTGAAATGAAAAACTTATTTGATCATTAAAATTACAATAAATTTACTTTAAGACGCTTCTTAGTTTGTGATGATATCTCAATTCGTTCTTGAGATACAGCCTCATCAATGTGATCCACAAATAACTTTTTATTAATGTTAAGGTTGATTTTAAAAAATCATTGCAACCTAATAGAAGGAAATTAAAAATTTATCTTTTAGTCATTAAAATTAGAATAAATTTGCTTTAAAATGCTTCATATTTCATATTAATATCTCAATCTGTTCTTGAGATACAACCCTATTAACATGATTACGTGTAACCTAAATAATTATTAAGTTAGGGTTGAATTAAAAAAGTTACTATAACCACTTGACGGAAATGAAAATCTTATTTGATCATTGAAATTACAATAAATTTGCTTTAAGACGCTTCTTAGTTTGTGATGATATCTCAATTCGTTCTTGAGATACAGCCTCATCAATGTGATCCACAAATAACTTTTTATTAATGTTAAGGTTGAATTAAAAAAATCATTGCACGAAAATTAAAAATTTATCTTTTAGTCATTAAAATTAGAATAAATTTGCTTTAAAATGCTTCATATTTCATATTAATATCTCAATTTGTTCTTGAGATACAAACCTATTAATATGATAATGTGTAACCTAAATAATTATTAAGTTAGGGTTGAATTAAAAAAGTTACTATAACCACATTGACGGAAATGAAAAACTTATTTGATCATTAAAATTGCAATAAATTTGCTTTAAGAAGCTTCTTAGTTTGTGATGATATCTCAATTCGTTCTTGAGATACAGCCTCATCAATGTGATCCACAAATAACTTTTTATTAATGTTAAGGTTGATTTTAAAAAATCATTGCAACCTAATTGACGGAAATTAAAAATTTATCTTTTAGTCATTAAAATTAGAATAAATTTGCTTTAAAATGCTTCATATTTCATATTAATATCTCAATTTGTTCTTGAGATACAACCCTATTAACATGATTATGTGTAACCTAAATAATTATTAAGTTAGGGTTGAATTAAAAAAGTTACTATAACCACATTGACGGAAATGAAAAACTTATTTGATCATTAAAATTGCAATAAATTTGCTTTAAGAAGCTTCTTAGTTTGTGATGATATCTCAATTCGTTCTTGAGATACAACCCTATTAACATGATTATGTGTAACCTAAATAATTATTAAGTTAGGGTTGAATTAAAAAATTTACTATAACCACATTGACTGAAATGAAAAACTTATTTGATCATTAAAATTACAATAAATTTGCTTTAAGAAGCTTCTTAGTTTGTGATGATATCTCAATTCGTTCTTGAGATACAGCCTCATCAATGTGATCCACAAATAACTTTTTATTAATGTTAAGGTTGATTTTAAAAAATCATTGCAACCTAATTGACGGAAATTAAAAATTTATCTTTTAGTCATTAAAATTAGAATAAATTTGCTTTAAAATGCTTCATATTTCATATTAATATCTCAATTTGTTCTTGAGATACAACCCTATTAACATGATTATGTGTAACCTTTACAATTATTAATGTTAGGGTTGAATTAAAAAAAACATTGCGACCATATTGATGAAGATTAAAAATTTGTTTTTGAGTCATTAAAATTAGAATAAATTTGCTTTAAAATGCTTCATATTTCATATTAATATCTCAATTTGTTCTTGAGATACAACCCTATTAACATGACTATGTGTAACCTTTACAATTATTAATGTTAGGGTTGAATTAAAAAAAGCATTGTGACCATATTGATGAAAATTAAAAATTTGTTTTTGAGTCATAAAAATTAGAATAAATTTGCTTTAAAATGCTTGTTATTTCATGATGATATCTCAATTCGTTCTTGAGATATGATTTTTTAAGTTTTTCGAATGTGCAAAATCAACGATATTATAGAAATTAAAAACTTCTTTATGGTAACCCAACCCAACCCATCCCAACCCAACTACGACCATAGATTCTATGCAATTTAGATCGTGCATCAAGGTGTCTTAATTTGCTATTTTTCTGCTCGTAGAGATCTTTGAATTTTGAATAATTTCTTTAATCTTGCTTTTATCAGAAGTTATGCTTTACAATCATATAAACGTTTTGGAAAGCTTTTGGTAGCTTTGATTTCATAAAGATTACTTGAGAGATCTTAGAGATCAATTGTCAAGAAAGAACACAAAAACTTGATTTTGAGCTAAGTATTAACATATAGACAATACAATAACAGATAATAAAATTTTTCGGTGAAATTCAATTCTTGAAAAGAACCTAATTCAGTATAGAACACCGTAAAGAATATTTCATACATCCCCAGAGTCTTTTTCGGTATCGGAAAATATTGTCGATAGTGAAATGTCGCGGGAAAGAAATGGGGAGCAAAGTATAATTCCAATATCGCGTCGACTGCCAAAAACCGACAGGTATAAATTGAAATATTCAAAGGGACGATATGATAGTCGAATAGTATTAAATTATTAACGTGTTCCTTTCTATTTGCATGGTTTGAGGTTCTTTAATCGTTCGTGCTTTAGTTTGGAGTCGCAGCGTTTCGTGATGGTCAAACACGTTCTGGGACAGTATTTAAACTGAACACGCGTTGTGTATTTTCGGTGTAATTTTGATTAGAGATAAACTAAATTTCGTCCCGCGGCCATGAATATATCGTACCACGAGCTGCTGTTTATACAGCGGAATAGATTCGACACTGTTTGCATAATAATTTCGGTTGAAATGCGTGCCGCTTTGACGGAAAACCTCGACGGTACAATAATTT